AGGTGAAGGTGCTGGTGGAATTTGTGGTTGAAAATTATGCAGGGAGGTGATGGCTGGCCTCCCCTGTCCATCAGCTGAGGAGACCCCCATGGTCAGTGACAGGTACAAGGAGGAACTAGAGTCTTGTCACAGCCTGAGGCTTGGGATTCTAGAAACCTCAAAGCCAAGCATACAACAGGGGAAGGGCTCTGGGTGGGTTTTGCTTCTTGACTTCCAAGGTGTTCTTGACTTCTAAGAAGACATTGCTGCACACACACGTGCTTTGCAGACAAGCATTTGGAATAGTGAAGCAGAACAGCAGAATAGATGGGATTACCACACAAAAGCCTTGGATGCATTCCCCTCTCTGCCAGACATCCTTAAAGAAGATGGGGAAGACACAGGGGTGTAATCCAAAAGGCAGGTGTACGTTAGCTCCATAAATTCTAGAATAAGGTGCCTTGGGCATTGAGGTACTTTCTGCTGTGCCTCCTGAAAGCAACCCATCCCTTGTGATTATAGGATTCCTCCTGCCACTGCAATAATACACTGTAAGCCAAAATGGGAGTTTTTTATCAAATGTATTTAATGTGTATAACCAAATCCCAAAATTTTCTCTGGAAAAACAGAATGACTAGCTGCCAGCTTCAGAGGGGTTTTGCTCAGGTCCTACCTAGTTCATCACAGCTTTTGCCAGCCTGTTTTGGGGTGGGTGGACTGTGAAAGATGTGAATGATGAAAACAAGCATCTTCTCTGCAGAACTGAGGTGATGATTTGGCAACTGGTTACTTACACCTCCAGGCTGTCTTCTGCCCAGTGTTAGCACTAGTTTAGGTAAATGTAAAACTAGCACTGCCTAGTTCATGCACCTCCAGCTTTGGTTCCAAACACCCCTGAGAATGTGGCAGAATCCCTGGTAAGTGTGGAATGGCAGACAGGCATTTCAGAGGAAAGGAAGTTAATGGAGCTCTCTTCAGTTAAAAACAAGAGCTGACTCCAGTGAATACTGGCTTTCCCGGCCTAATTGCACTGCAGGTTGGCAGGTTCTCAGGGTCTCTCCAGGAAGAAGAAAATCAAAGACAAACAAAAAGATTGAAGGTCAGGGAAAATGAGATGGAATGTTTGCAAGGAAAGGAGCAAGAGAGAAGAAGAAGTAGACGGAAAAAATGCAGGAGGATCCAGCAGGTCAAGAAGTCCAGGTGCCCATCTCTGGTGTCCATCTTTCCCAATTCCAAATGCTGCGCTAAATCAGAAAAATATGGAGCTGTGTCAGAGGGTTTAGGCTGGTATCAGGAAAAGTTTTTTCATCCAGGGATTGGTTGAGCACTGGAACAAGCTCCCCAGGGAAGTGGTCATGGCACCAAGACTGTCAGGGTTCAAGAAGTGTGTGGACATGGTGGGATTCATGAAGCTGGGCTGTTCAGGGCCAGGAGCTGGAGTTTGAGATCCTGATGGGTCCCTTCCATCTCAGGACATTTTATGATTCTAATTTGGCCTGAATTGCTGGCAAGGGCCAGTGAAGAACAGCACTGTGCAGAATGTGGAAAGAACTTCATGGCCCCCTCACCCACCACCATGAGTCCTGCTGTGTGGCACAGGGGCCCCAAAAACCTGTGCACATACACAGGGCTCTATGGGCATCACCCACAGGGAGAAAGTGATGGAGACATCCTGTCACCAAAGCCAGCACTAGTTCTCTTCTGGGCTAGGATAGTGACCCTGCCCTGGGTGAGCTCCTGAACTGGAAGAACTCTCGCCTGGTGAGAAGCTGGGTCAGGACCCTAAACTTCAGCAGAATTAACTTCTAGGTGTACAAAGAATTAGTGAGTGAGATCTGCTGGGATATGTCCTTAGGAACAGATGACCTGATCAGAACTGGAAACTCTTTAAAAAGACTTTGCTTGGAGCAGAAGACCTTTCCAAGCTGATGTGTAAGGAACCAAGTAAGGCAGACAAAAAACCACCACAGATAAGCAGGGATCTGCTCCTGAAATTGAGGAATAAGAGGCACACACTGCCAGTGGGAGCAGGGATTGGTGTCCTGGGGACAGTAAAGGGATGCTGTTTGGATATGTAAGGATGGGATCAAGAAAGCCAAGACAAAAATGAAACAGGACTTGGAAGGGGGTATGAAGAGTAACAAGAAGGGATTCTATAAGGACAGCAGTTGGAAAAAAAGTCTAAGTGTTGCCTTTAGCAGGGCAGCCACCCTGGTTCAGGAACAGCATGGCGGCCACGCTCAGGCCACTCGGTCCATTTGCAAACACAAGCATCAATGTGATGGATGGCAAATGGCATTTATTGCTGGAGAATTTGATATTTTATAACCTAGGTCCACTGTGTTACTCCCATCTGCTTTCATCACAGCTAGGTGCTATTGGCTAATTGCAGGGGTCATTACCATACTAAAGAGGAGGGGGGGGTGACTGTCTTTCCGTTACATCCCTATATTTTCCGTGCGCCAGGCCCTAGCCTCTACAGCTAAGGACAGTGTACCTCCGATAAATGAGAAGAGAGAACTGTCAACAGCAGATACGGGGAAGGCTGAGGTACTCAGTGAGTTCTTTTCCTCAGACTTCAGTGGCCATCAGGTTTCCTGATGTCTCTTGATTCCTTGAGGCTGCAGGTGGGGGTTGGGCAAGTGAAATCACTCCCAGTGTCAGTGAAGATCAGGTTCAAGAGCATCTGATGGAACTGAATGGGGACAAGCCTTATGGGACCTGGTAATGTGCATCCAAGCGCCCTGTTGAATGATATGGCTGCCAGGACACTCTTGTGATACTTGTCACAGCAATCAGGTGAAGTCCCCAGTGACTGTAAAAGTGACAGCATCACTCCCATTTTTAAACAAGGGACAAAGGAAGACCCAGGGGACTGCTGACCAATCTGGTGGCCTTCTGTGATGTAGTGACTGCACGACTGACAAAAGAATGACTGGTGCCATCTACCTAAACTTCTGTAAGTATTTGACATGGTCCCACATGACATTTCATGTCCAGATTAGGGAGACATGCAACTGAAGGTGGACTGCTTGATGGATAAGGAATTGGCTGGGTAGATGCTGAAGAAGAGTTGTAGTCAAGTGGCACAGTGTCCAGGTGGAGGCTAATGACAAGCGATGCTCCTCAGGGCTCTGTCTTGAGGCCACTGCTCTTTACTGTTTTATTGATGACACAGACAGTGGGATTTAATGGACCCTTGTGGAGACCCAAGGGCCTATGACTAAAATCCCCATACCTCAATCCTGGAAAGGAGGCAACAAATAACACCTCCTGAGATTGGGTTGAGAGAAGGCCTCTCTCCCACAGATCTTTGCAGTTATATGTTAATGTATTGTTAAGTTTATTCCCCCATTGGTTCACCAAGTTTATGTTACACTGTTCAACCCCCATTTACCAGTTATGTGCATCTCCTAGAATGTTCTCCCTTCCCTGGACCCCACTGGCCCTATTTTGGTGCACTCCTCCACCCTTGTTTTCCAATTGGTTATTCCTGTCCCTAACTCCACCTCTGCATCATGTTTACCTGTTCCCATTGGACACTGATTCTCCAATCTGCCCCCCCTTACCCATATACAACTCTGGACCCTCCACCCAGTTTTGTTCTTGTTTCTGTTTCTGGACATCCTTCGAGGCAATAAAGCTTTGGTTACCCAAACAAGAACCCATCCTGACGACATCCTTCCTTGTCAGGTTTGTAGTGGCATCGTGCCTCAGACCTGAACAGACAAGCAGCCTTAGGGACCTGGTTGTAGCGTGTTGCCACAGACCCTCAGCACTTTTGCAGATGACCACAAGCTTGTTGGTGCAGTTGACACAACAGAAGGATGGGATCCATCCAGAGGCACCTGGACAAACTTAAGAATTGGGCCCATGACAACCTCCTGAAGTTCAAAAAGGCCAGGTTCTGGTGCTGCACCTGGGTCAAGGCAATCTCAGACATGAGCACAGACCTGGAGAAGAAATCCTTGGGAGCAGCCCTGTGGAGAAGGGCATGATTAAATTTGTGTTAAAGTTATAATCTTGTCTGACAAGAATCCTAACATATTTCTAGGAAACTTTCCCTGACGAGATTATAGTGATAGGTAGCAAGGCCAACATGAATATTCATCTGCAAGGGGCATATTTCAAAGAAACCTCCATCCCATAAGATTTCATAAATATTCGTCTGCAAGAAGTGCCTTTCCAAGAAACCTGACGAAATGATGACATATACACCCAAAACAGCATGAATATTTGTCTGCAAGAAGTGTATTCCAAGGGACCCTCAAAAAGCATTATCCTGCACCCTCATATTACTTACTCCAGAGGGGCAGCCCTCTCTCAGAGGTGTTTAGAGCCTTTACTGTATCATAATTCTCTGTGTGGTGTGAAAAATACCTTCTGCTAAAAGGGCACAAATAAAGGTGCTTTTGTAGATGGGTTATTCATGCACAGCCTTTCACTCACAGGCATACACTAGCATCTACCTGTTATAAATGAGTAGCCAATTTGATTAACAAAAAGAATTTATTAAAAAAATACAATCGTAAAAAAGCCACAAGCAAAAGTCAGTTTGATGGTGTACTGGGCGAACAACATCGGGTGAGGGATGCCCCAAGGAGGGCATGCTTCACCATGCTTTGCAAACTGTGCCTGTTCCAGGGTGCTTTTTATATGTTTTCAGGCTTTTCGAGGGTCCCTTCGAATACACTTTTTGCAGATGAATATTCATGCCGTTTTGGGTGTATATGTTGTAATCTTACTGGGCTTCTTGGAAATACACTTCTTGCAAACGAGTATTCATGCTGCATATTGTTATAATCAGATGGAGTTTTCTTAGAAATATGCCCCTTGCAGATGATGGCCTCCATGCAAGGTTTCCTGGAAATATGTTAGGATTCTTGTCAGACAAGATTATAACTTTAGCATGAATTTATTCATGCAATGTATCACTGTTTCAATACAGGGGACTAAATTAATAAATTACCAATCAGCTGAAAACACAATTCTAAAACAAAAACTTTCTTTCAATCTGAGCTTAATCTAACATGCAAAAGCAGTGTTCTCTTTACCTAAATCTTATATATGGTACTGTACGTTTACATGTACAGTTCTAGCTGTTCTATCTAGAAGTGTAAGGTATGTTCTTACTCTAATTTATATTGTGTCTAGGGCTAAGTTGAATCTGTGAAGGGTATCACTGAACTTTCAACTGGGTAATAAGGCTTTTCACTAGGTAACAGGCTCTTAAGGCACTTAAGCTATATTAGAACTTACTTAAAACTAAAACCTACATTCTTACTTCATGTCTATGTGGTTTAATATATTTTAATTCTTTTTTCTCTCTGAGGGAGTCAGGAGACTTTTATTTTGGATTCCAACAGCAGATATTTGTATATCTAGGTATAATCTTTGTTCTTTAATTTTCTCTCCTTAAAATGGATATTAACTCAATATGTTTTGCTGACATTATTAGATAATTTTAATTTGCCATAGCTAATGAACATTATCTGCATTCCTGTTGTATGTTTTTAGTAAGAAAATTGGAAACATGATTTTATTAAGAAAAAATAGAAACTTATACATTACTGAAAAAAGTGTGGGCAGGCAAAGGGCCGAGCTTCTACAGGAGCACGTTATGTAGTTTGAGGCACTTCTCTCTGTAAAATTCACATGCTGGGTCACTCAGTCTTCATCGCTTATCTGGGGGATAATAAGGGGTAATGAAATAGTTCAGAACTTTCAAAACATGCCAAGTGTATGCCATCCCTTCCCTGGCCCCAAATAGCAGATTCTCTGGCCAGGGTGGTACTTTTCTGAGTGCCTTGTGGGAGAGGACACCCAGGCGGGAGAGATTTGCTGAAGAGGTTTGATCAGTATGTGTGGCCAGGGTGTCCCAGAAGGGATCTTTTCCTGCCCTCTAGTGGGGATCACATGCTGCTTCCCCATTCTTTGTGGTGCTTGCTTCATGCTCACCTCTCCCTGCAGTTCAGCCTCAGCACAAGTCCAAGTTAACAAGCCTTGGGGAGGGGAACCAGGGCAAGCTGGAGTGAGGGTGATGCTCCTCTGCATGACATAATGGTCTTTGTCCATCTTGTGGCAATGGCTTCTCTTTCTAAAACAGCAGAAACAACATATAAACTACTTTTTTGGATCCTTTGACCTTCATTCTAATGCAATTTGTAACACTTGTTAAACTATGACATGAGAATTGCAGGGTGCAACTCTGCATCTGCAATTGGAGATTTTCACCACTGTGAGCAGGTTTTCTTCTTCTGCAGCATGTTGTGCTTTCAGCCCTTCACTTCTTGAACAGGTTGGGGCATTTAGGCACCAGACATGTCCCTTCCTCATGGCACAGGACCTTGTTTCTTTCACTGCCAAAGGCAGCAACCTTGTTGGGCAGTTCTTGTGTGGGATGTCTGCAGCTGCAGACCTGGCTCTTGTTTTCCACATCTCACCTTCACAGGGACAGAAGCTTTCCATAGCTTGCTAGTTGCTTGAACAGCTCTGTTCTGCCACAAATGGGATCTGGTTTTAAATTTGAAAGTGACATTTTTCTTTTTCCTTCTCCCCTCATCAGATGATTTCTCACCCTCTTCGTATTTTTGTTTCAATATTGCACTAATGCCTTTTCCTTGGTCCTAAAGAACCAGACATGGTTAAGGGATTAAGAGTTTTTACTTAAGTATTTAATAAGGATTTTTACAGTGCGACACCTTGCCAAGGAAATGCACACCCATGTTAAATTTCATATGCAATTTTATAGACCTTGCAAATTAGCACATCTAACAAAAATGCTCTAATAAGAGGTTTGAATGAATAGCATGATATCTCTTTATCCTGAAGTATTCCCCCTTAGATGGTTCTAATCCTAGTTTACAGGATGTATTCTAGAAAGTACCTTGATAGTTTCCCAAGATAGTGTAGGACTTTCTGGCCTTCAACTGCGAGGCCTTTAGGATGTTTGGTCTTCTGGCCTAACAATACCAGGACTATGCTAAGTTATCAGACTTAAGGAATTGCAAGTATGCATGCTTAGGGCACTGAGAATTCATAAAAGGTACATAAAAGGCATAAAATCATCAGGGCATCAGCACTGGTATTACTTCACTAAGACTAGAAAAAAGAAGTAGTAAAAGTAGATATTAATAAATGGACAGGATTAGATAAAATTTTTGAGGATAGTTATAAGAAACTGTGGCAAGAAAAAAAAAGAATTCTATCTGGGGTCTGTGTATCATAGGAGACCACAAATATATTCAAAAACTCTTTCAGCAGGGCCTGGCTAAGGCCAAAGCAATGGGACAAGCCACCACTCCTGGGGAGATGACACAGTCTGTGACAGAAAATGAGATCCAGGGATGAACACAGTCTGTTGGGAAGCTGTTGAAGAGGCTCCAGTGAAGTCCAGCATCACTGGTTTCTGAAGGAAGGGTGGTAAATATGCCAATAAAGTGGGTCGTGTGGGCATAATAATCCTCTTTCATTTTCAAAAAGCCTTTGAGAAGCTTTTTGCAAAGCTTATTAAACTTTATAATGAAAATAAGTTGCCACAAGATTGGATGAGAGGTTGGTTTTGGAGTTGAAAGCTGGTATAAGAAGAGGAAATGAGGGACAGGGCTTAGTGGTCACTCTCCAGGAAGTAGGAGATTTATGCAGTCAGGGGATAATTTAGGTCAGAAGGGACCTCTGGAGGTCATCTAACCCAGCCTCCTCTCCAAGCATTTCTAAAAGACTAAGGTCTGACTAAGGTCAAGGACTTCTTCAGTGAAACTTGAATATGTCCAATATGCACTCAAAAGAGTGATATGGTTTAATCAGAGAAAAGTTTTATTAATTACAGCAAGCAAGCAATAAGCAATAGATCAGCGCTGGGCGACAGGGGAGCAGGAGGATTCCCGCTCCACGAAACTGCCGCGCTTCTCGCTTCCGTGTTTCCCCTTTTAAGTGCCTCGGCTTCTGGGTTACGTGTCCTTTCTCCAGCGTTTCTGTGCATGCATCTCTAGTTATTAGGGGGTCGTTTTCTGCTCTCTGGTGGTCATGGGATGTAGGCTCCAAGTCTTCCTCAATCTTACTCTGCTGACCTTTTCTCACTGTTTTTCTTTTAAGGTTTATCTTGTCCTGGCATTCCAGGAGTCTCTGCTAGGCTGTTAATTATTATGCCAGTCTCAGCGAGTTAGCGGCCTTCAACTTCTTCTCGATTTTACACACAAAGCACAATTTTGCAAAGCATCATATCATATCTATATATTTGGGCGAACAAAAGAGTTTCTGTCTATTACACAAGGATGGCCATTCTATAACTTGATACAAAAGCCTTAGAATTTAAGCCGTTTTTATTTGATGCCTCCACCTGTGACCTCTAGAAAGGAGTCAGCAGTGAAACCTGCTGGGCTGGAGAGACACAGCTCTGGCTGTGAGTGCCTGTGCCATCCCTGAAATGAACTGGTCCTTAAGATCCTTTCAACTCAAACGGTTCTGTGATTTGTGTGTGGAAATTGAAAATAAATTCCTTCCAAGTTTGAGCAACATTACAGGATTTTCTGGCATGGTTATGCTGAAAAATACTACTGGGTCCCAAACACGGTCCCTCCATTCATTTCTCACATACAGATGGCTTTTGTTGGTGGGCATGTGGCAGATGGCTACAACAACAGAAAGCTTCCTTTTTGTTTGCTGGTGCTTTGTCCTAGTAGGGTGTCCTGGCTGGCAGATTCTGCAGCAGCTGTGTCTAGTCTGGACAAGCACCAATAAAGTCAAGTCTATCACAGTATATTTTTTTGCAGTATTAGGAGGAAACAGCTCTATACAGTAAAGTTTATTACTGTTATTTGGAAATGTACTCTATCTTTGGAAAAAAACCAGCAAAACCAAACACCTGGAAATTTACCTCTCCTAGAAGAACATGTTTTCTCTTGCACCTGAAGCTGACTACACCAGCAGCAGCAACAGCAGCAGTAGATTTCTGCAGTGTGCAGATTCAGCTAATAAGCAGGTTTGGCAACGACTTTGATTTCAAGTACATTAAATCTCCTCACTGTCCTGAAAATATAGGCTGAATAATTCTGCATGGATCAATGCATGTAAGGCTACAGCTTCTGCAAGGGAAAAATCCTCCACCTTGATTTGCCTGCACTTATCCCCTTGCACTGGGAAATATAATTCCCCTTTGTTATTAATGACTTTGTATTTGTTTTCCGTGCTTTATCTGAGGTACACACTGGGAAGTGTTATAAATCTGTATTGTGATATTGGCTTTCACAAGTATTAAGATGAATATTATATGTTAAATACTTTTTGGCTATGAATGTATTTTTCCTCTTGCTAACAAGTTTTAAGCTTAAAGGAATTTCGTAGTACAAGGCAAGATAACTCCAACAGGCAGGACAATGGGAGGACCAAGCTGTTTCCAGCGGAAGGACAGTGGAAACCAGGCTGTTATCAGCAGCAGGAAATAGAGACCAAGCTGTTATCAGCAGCCAGGACGTTGGCAGCGGGGGAAGGATATGAAGCCCAGCTGCCCACAGCAGAAGGATGAGAGGCCTGGACTGTTACCAACACTGACCATTTGCAGAAGAAAGGAAACCAAACTCAAAATAATGATGATCAGCAAAAATAAAAAACATACAGATCATGTTCTAAATAGGCGGAACCAGGGAGGGGACATGCTAAATACTTCTTGAAAAAGTTTGAATATGCATTAAACTCTCACAGCAGGAGGGGATAAAAAGGATGTTCCCATGATACCAGGTGTGTTCCTGGCAACCTGCCAGGGCACCCAGCCATTTTAACCCTTTGCTTTATTTCCTTTGTCTCCTAATTGTCTTTTTGTTTATATTAAACTTTTTATAATTTATTAAGTGAATCTTGTTTTTCACAAAAGCTACAATGGAAATGGTTTGAAAATAAAAAACAATGTTCCACCACAAACTACACAGAACCAAATAAGTGATTGCTTCCTGGACCCTGACAAAGACTCCCTTTTCTGCAGTTTAGTCGTTGTTTGTCATCAGCAATGGCAAATGCCTGCTGGCTGAAAGGTTTGCTGATCACAGGTTATTCAACTTTCCGATTTCCAGAGAACAGTCAAGCAATCCTCTGTAATCCTCTCAGTTAAACAATCTTTTACAGCTTTCCCTTGCAGTGCCCATTTAACTTGCAGAATGCATCTATAGTAGGGGTGCCAAACAACTTCCCTATTTGTAGTATGTATTATCCTGCCAAAGCGAACTACTTAAGCGAACTACTTTCCTTTCCTGTTTTGTTTGTCTGTTTATCCTGCCAAAGTGAACTACTTTCCTTTCCTGTTTTGTTTTTCTGTTTATTTGAAATGCATTGCACAATCCCTGAGCAATGCAAGTGAAAATGGGGTTATGGACCTACTTTGACATGCGATCAGATGGCATTGTCATCCAATTTTAATGCTTGCTTCTAAAATATTGTTTTCAGTCTTCTGATTGCTGGAAAAGAGTTACTAAAACAGTTCAGCGTATTTTAGTATGTAATCTTTAAGTGCTTTTCATCAGCTAAGATGAACCTTCCATCCACCATTTGCACACTTTACCAAAGCTGATACTTCCATCAGTCCCAAGTAGTTCCCCAGGTGGTTGAAGGAAGAAGTGAGAGGAAAACAAGTGTTCTCTGTCACCCTCCATCTCAGTTGGTACTCCTACCCTTGGCACCCCGGGGCAAGACTAGGTCTGCAGCAATGAATAAGCTATGCTAATTAGAGTTCGGGTAAATTGATCATTCTTGCCTTATTTATTTGTCTGGTTTTTCTTGGTGTTACATCTATATGTGTGTCCATATCTGCATGTGTAAGTGTGTCATATTTATAATATGCATGCATGTATTTTAAACACATGCTTATATAAATCTCTGTATTTGTATTTGTGTCTGCATGTGCATGTCCACATTTATTTATGTATTTAGCTATTTATGCATTTAGCTATACCAGGATAGGCTCCTTAGTGATGTAAAGAACTTTTCTCCCACATGTTTCCGTTTCCTCATTTTCAGTGGGTAGGTTGCTACAAGTGGAAATTTAAGAATTCCAAAGGCTCTTCAGTGACCTTTAAAAACTGCATGAATATTCATGGTTGCAAATTTTTGAGTGCTCTGTTGATTCACAACATCATATACCCAGTGTTTAGACACCACTGAGGCTTTGGATGTAGAGGGTGATACATCACAGTCAGAGGATCATCTGGAGAAAAACCAGTGGTTTCCTGTGATACTTCTTAAAGCTTACCTAAAACATGTATTCTCACTATTTTTTTTTGCAGGAGGAAACAAAACGACAACCTCCATTTGTAATTTGTCTTTTAGTTTTCTAGAGAAAAACTAGATTGAAAAGCAGAAGCTAGAATGGGATAAAATGTGTGAAAACAAACAGGTTGGTAAATTATCTGTTGTTTTGTTCTTTGGTTTTTCCTTTTTCAGTAGTCCCTGTAGAATTTATAATAAAAATAAGAATAATTATCAGCATTCATTATCGGGTAATAGTACTCAGGTTTTATTAAAATGGACTTGCCATTCAGCACTGTATGGGTGACAAACTTCAGCAGTGACATCAAATGGCATCTCCTACTTTTGCAGAGTGGAATAGTACTTTTCACAAGCTATGGATTGTTGCAAGCAAAGCTCCATTCATTATTCTGTTGATAATTGTATCAAGTCCTGTTCTAAATGAATTCTTGTCCATGGGAGTAACAGCAGCATGTGTTCACATAACAGAGTATTATGTATCATCTAGTATGTCTAAAATATGTTTATTCTGTTTGTTTTGTTTTGGTTTTTTAATTTTAGTGTATACAGTGGTATGTGTCAGCAAATGGTATTTTTAGAATGGATTTGGTATATTTCCTGTGTAACTTCTGTAGGTGACCCTGCATTGGAGGCTGGACTAGGTGATTGTTGTAGTGCATCTATTTTAGTGATCCCAAGTTTAATACAGATCCCAAAACACATAGCACCCAGCCACTCGAAAACCGTAAGCGGAGAACGGTAACAGTTAAAAACCCTGTAGAAGAGTGGCTACCAAAATTGCCCAGAGCAGAAAAAGAACCCCAAGAATTAGAGCTATTAGGTTCTGCTCCTGCACCCTTTTGTATCCACCTTATGTATAAGACACTGACAGACCCTAAATTATATCACCACGTAGTACAATATCAAAACGAATTTAAGGCAAGGCCATGGTGTAGTGTGCGGAGTCACGTCACAGCAGATGATCCTCTCCGTTCACATCCAAGAACCCTCCCTAAAAGCATATTTCTGATTTGCGGAGATAGAGCGTGGGCAGGGATCCCATCTTGCCTTCGAGGAGGACCGTGTACCTTTGGGAGGCTGTCCCTGTTGGCACCTAATCAAACCCAAATGAAAAAATGGATTCGAAAAGAAAATTCAAGCCACAAAATTTACAAAAGGAACACTGACATTTTAGATCCAAATTGTGATTCTGACATTTTTCATTGGGCAAAATCAAAAAGAATTGCTGTATCCATATTTCTTCCATGGGTTGCAGCTGCCCAGGCATTAGGTGAATTAGGACAGTTAGAATGCTGGGTAGTCAAACAGGCCAACTTAACATCCACTGCCCTCAGCTCCCTCAGATGAAGAAATTACCAGACAAGCTACCCTCCAGAACAGGGCAGCTATAGATTTTCTTTTGCTTCTGCATGGACACAAATGACAGGAATTTGAAGGACTTTGCTGTTTGAACTTGACCTCGAAATCTCCCAATGTCCATGGAGCCCTCCAAGAGATGAAAAACTTGATTGGACAAGTGAAACAAGAAGCCGAGGACCGGTGTAATGAGCTGTTCAAAGGCTGGGGACCGACAGGATGGTGGACTTCAATAATCAAAACAATCGTGTTGCTTTTTGTTATTTTGGTTTTGATTGTATTAGCATTTGGAATTGTCCGTTGTTTAATTTTAAAGGCCCTTAGTAGAGTAATTTTTACTACCTCAGAAGCTAACCACATGGAACTAGCTGACAGAAACAAATCTAATCGGCCCACCCATTGTGAGTGGTGGGCAAGCTCATGGTAAAAGACAAAATGAGCTAGAGCTTTCTTTCTTTCTTTCTCATTTTTGTAAAAGGGTGAGGTGTTGTAGTCCCATCTAAAAATCTTGGTATCTCCCAGGGGTAAAACCCACCCTCAGTCTGTGTAATGTTAGTTCCTACCTGAGAACCTTTTCCCTTCCCCCCGTCCCATTGGCTGTGACTTCCCTGTATTCCCCGATCACCCCTGCCCCCTGGTATAAGAGATAAGACCCAGGACATTTCGCTCTCTTTCTTGCCCCGGTGGGATGACATGCAATAAACCCGGGATTTCCAGCAAGTTTGGGCCTCCTGTGTCTGGATACTTTGAGTCCGTGTTGTATCCACTCCAGGACCCCCTCCGCCACCCGTGTCCTGTGTAGAGCAGGGCTCTCACCACAGGGCGTGGGACAGAGGGGTCCCCCCGAGAGAGGATTGCAACCGGTGATGTTCACAGGTCCCTTTCAACCTTAACTATTCCGTGATTTGTGTTTATTTTAATGTAATGTGAGAGCATCCTTTTGGAAACTCGTGCTTTAAACATGACATGAAAGCTAAAAAGCCTACATGGCATTTAAGAAATTATCAGCCCAATATTGAAAAGCTAGCTATTATTTAAATAGTTATTTTTAAAAATTGAATACTTTAAACGAGGATGTTTACACCGCTCTCTCCTTTGGCTGTGGCAGTCCTAGGTTCGCCCCCGCCCCCAGCAGACAAGTGGTGGCACCGTCCCCTAGGGTGGGAATGTTGGTTCTGTTTCTGCGGAGCGGCAGCAGAAGCCGTGCGGAGGAGGACACGGCTGTGCTGCAGTGCCTTTCCCTGCCCCTGCTCACCTGGCTGCTCTCGGAACGTCCCCTCGCTCTGCCCATCGCGTCCGCGGTGCTCCCTGGCGTCAGGATGCTGTGGCCGTGACCGCCCGGCCGGATGCTGCTTGGCCTTCAGCGACAGCGGGGAGCAACGCCGGGCTGCTGCCCTTGCTGCTTGTCCTGCCGGCTGCTGCTCCTCATCCTGCTGCTGCCGATCCTGCTGCTGCTGCAGATCCTGATCCTGCCGCTGCTGCTGTTATTGCAACTGCGGCTGCTGCTGCTGCTGCTGCCACTCTGGCGTGCGGCTGCAGTCCATCGTCTGGAACAGCCAGCACGAAGTTATCCAGCCTGGCCACAGCCAAAGGAATGCGGCAAGAGTCCCCGAGGTCACCGCAGCGAGGCTGAGCGTGGAATAACAAGCCAAATCCGCTGGGGATTTACAATGCAAGCAACCTTTCGAGGTTTCTTTTCTGCTTTGCTCCCACCCTGCTGTTGGATTTGAGATCATGTATGTGTTCTGCTGTTGATTACAGGAGGGTGTTAAAATCTAGGGAGGGAAGAGGATTCAGAAAGATTAATATTTTAGTTTTGATTTAAGGGGATTTTATTTTCTTTCCTTTTATTCACGCCCTTCATTTTTGTTAACACAACTTCATCTTTATTATTTTTCTTTTAGGTCGGTTAATATTGTAGCTTTTGGCAATGAAAGAGATGGTTTTTCTGAGGACAGTCAGCAGCCCAGCCTGATCTGGAGCTATCTCCGGAGAAGTGCTCTCATTTCTCAGATCGACAGCAGCTTCTCTGCCAGTCGAGTTGGGAACCCAGTTTTTGCTGAGTATCAAGCTTGCGTATTTGGAAATGTCAGACTGGTGGTATACGACTGTGTTGTCTGGGTAAGAGATCCATCTCAGTCTTTTTAACTGCACTTAACAGTGTGAGCTGTTCTAGTAAAATGAAAACATATCCTAATTTTAAAAGGTTTTAATTGTTGTGGGATTTTATTAGTAGTTCTATTTTTGAATATAGTAAAAGCTTTTAAAATGTAACCAGGCAAATGCTGGGAAGTCTCAAAGGTGCCACAAAAAGGTTCTTATAAAAAAGCCCCTACTGGCTTCCCCTGTAAGAAGATGTTTTTTCCAACTGCGTTGCTTAGTGGAAATTTTGTGAAAGATAATCCAGAGGTAAACAAGAATGCCTTCTTTGTGACACTGCATCATAAGCTCTGTCTCCAAATAAGTGTCAACAATAAAATGAAATTTTATTTTTCTGTAAAAAAAAAAGGCAGTAAGTTTTCCAACTGTGAAAAATGACAGATTAAAAGATCTGATAACTTGCAAAATACAATGTAGGGAGTATTTTTACTCCTCCTAGAAAGAAAAATCACAACATTATTACCTTTATCTGATGTAAATAACAAAAATTTTGGCACTGTTGCAAGTTGTCAGCACTTTTGTTAGTAAGTGAGAAAACTTACTTTTGAGTGTGAGCAGATCAATGATTATGTAAGAAATTATACTGATAATCTAAATTAAAACATTAATGACTACTTACTAGTTTTAAAAAGAACCCTCAACTTACTAGCTTTTAGAAATTAAAACAATAATCAGTTTCAGCTCCATAATTCTATTATTTTTGGTGATTTTTGTACTCATGTAAGGGAAATTTTTTGGAGAATCTGCAGGAACCAGAACAGCTCCATGAAGTAAGTGACCAGAAGATGACAATCTTAAAACTAAAGAATCCAGTTTAGCCGTCCTTCTGTTCTTTATTTCTTTTTGTTGTGCTTTTTGTTGTTTTTTTCTTTAAGTTGTGCTTACAGACACCAGTTCAGATGGACTGGGGGATCCTGTTTCTAGTCTGTGAAGCTGCATGTGACCTGCACGTGCAGCTTACTGGAGTCACAGAAGTGCAGCAAAGAGTAAAACCTCCTGAATATAAATTAAATCTGTGGACTCCAAAGGCTGTTTCAGAGGGATGGAGAATGGTAGGAGAGGTGGGAAGGCTAGTGAGGGTAGCTGGAGATGGGGAATGAAGGACATGAATTTGAGACAGAGTTGATGTGGTTTTATGTTGCTGTAGTTGTATTTTAGCCTTCTGCAAAACAAAGTTGTTCAGTTCTGGAGACCTTATAATTTCTGCCATTCAAAAGCTAGTCTGAGCCATTGCATTTCTGAAGCCTCAAGTTTTTTTCCCTCCATCAGTTAAAGGAAGCAGGAGATACATTACTAAGAATGTTGAAGACAAATTAGCATTTTTTTCTTCATAGAAGACATTACAGTTAGCAGGACTGGAGGACCTGGCAGGAGGTTATTTGCCATGCATAAAGCAGTGTCCTTGCTAGGGTAAGGCAGGACAGGACTATTTTCCACAGTCTGGGTGCTTGAGGTTTACTATGTCACAGTGGCTCATTTATGGCTGTGCCTCTGCTAGCCTGCAGAAACAGCACAGAACAATTCAAAATGTTGACAGATGTTGCCTCAAGTAATATTCTGCATGGAAAAGGATCCCTGTCTCATGTTACCACACAGAGGTTATGGTATGGTGAGCCTTGCAATATTTCAGCCTCTACCATCTGAGCACAAGGCATATTTGTGTTTTACCTGGGATTTGTACCTCATCTAGATGAAACCCATATGATTAAGGCAAGACAGTCCTGAACATGAACATGGCAACTGAATACACTGATAATTGTGAGTCTCAAAATTCAAGGGTGCCCAGCTGCTCTTTGTCTTCCACAGCAATCAGATTGCAAAAGCAGTGTTGAATAAATAGAGCTCCACAGTGAGTGGAGGGATCTTTTTGCATGACAGATTGTGCAGTTTAATTTTCCTGAGTTTCAGTCTGCTGCTGCACCTGTCTGTCAGCCAAGGACACTGCTCAGCCTTTTGAGTCTGCAGGAGGGTCAGCAGGTCAACAAAAATGAATTCATGTGTGCCAATGTGCAAACTTGCATGTTGTGAGGAGCTATCCTTCCCCTGGCAGTTGCAGGGTGCAGGATGGAAATGCTGATTTTGGGTCCCTTATAATTCACGCAAAATCAGAAGGCTTTAGAGACATAGTGGAACACTACACTTTTCAAAATTGGGGGAAAAAATGTCAGAGTTTCCAAGGACAGGTTGCTATTTGTGTGCCACTGTCTGGGTGTACCACTGTGGCCTGCTGTGTGTGGCACTGCTTGGGCAGAGCTGTGTGCTGTATGCAGGGGACATGCACAATGCACCCACATCCTTATAAATCATGTGGCTTCTAAATGTTTTCTCAAAAAATGCAAACCTAGGATAAGAGAAGGCATAAAGAATTACGGAAAACACACATGTGCTAACACCTCTGCTGAATATTGTGATTTTTATAGCTGATCAGTTTCTAATGCATCCTTAAGCTGCTCTATAATAAGGCATATTGAATAAGAATGTATCAGTTTTTCTAATTTTGGAGGGGTAAAATTCTGTGTGGAGCTAGTATCTCATAAAGAATAATTTGCAAGATGAATTTTAAGATTTGCTTTGGAAAAGACTGCTTTAATTAAACTCTATGTTGAATTTGACAGTCTGAGATGCCATTTTTTTGACTTGCATGTATTTTGCAATTCCACTTCACTCAGAATTTTTTCATGCTTCTGCAGAAAAAATGCAGGCAGAATTTTTAATATCTAATGGCAAGTGGATCTTCCCCAAGTACAGAATTAAGCACAGCACAGAAGCTGTAATTCATGTTTTGATTAATTTCATTGCAATGCTGGACAATAAATGGCAAAATAAAAAGTAATAAAAAGTCCTTTGTAAGTGTTCCGTACTTGAAGTAACTCTTGTTCTCCCCTCTCTAACTCTCCCCTCTCTTACTTGGAGCAATACCCTGAGGAGGTGAGAGTGTTTCTGTCCCAGCTTGAGGGGTCTTGCTACCTTTTTAAAATTCTTTTACTAAAAGCCACCTGGTTTTGGTTGTTTGGGGTTTTTTGTGGCTTTTGTTTGGTTTGTTTGGGTTTACTTTTCCTCATGGGAAACAAAACCCCAACATTTTTTTTGCTCTTGCCTTTTTTATAAGAACTGCTCAGTTTGTAGAGAATTACTCATATCATCCAGTAAAAAAATGTTACAAAAGGGGAAGATAGAGCAGCTGGGTTTTGGAGATTGCCTTGTGCAGGATTAGATACTTGCAGAGGCGTGAATGCTCCACTGTTTCTGCTCAGAGCCTTACACAGAGTTGCAGACCTCCATGGGGCTCATGAGTACACAAATATATCAACTGCAACTTAAATATATTGACTACAATTTTGAGAAGTTGTTCTGTGATTTTTTTTCTAATTCTCCCTTACAACAATTTCATTCCCTGAGTCTTTTTGTATTTTTTCTTAGTTATTTACTGCACAAACAGGAGTAGTCCCTCAAGCTTTCTTATGCAAACAGTATCATTCATAGTGTAGTTCTCTGGCTTTTTCCTCTTTATCAAAATTCTTGTGCTCTTGTGCTGCCAAGGCTGGCCAGCCCTTATCATGTCTAAAGGTAAAGGAATCTGAACCACTTCTAGATTTTATTTACTATTTTTAGAAATCTAGACATATTGCTGTTTCAGTAAAAAATGACAGCTTGTAACTTCATTTTTCATTTTCCATTGTAACTTTTCTAATAAGCCAGCCAGCTTATTTTTAAGCTGGAATGCCTGAAGTGGAAATTTACAACAATAAATGTTGTAAATATGTTATTATTATATCCTGGTAAAAAATACTATTCATTTCTGAGAGGATGACACAGGCCAATATGACCTTTCTTTGTTTTGTGGAGGGGATGTTTAGGGGGATTTCTAAAGGAGATCCTTCCATCTGAACTGCAGATTACTTACCTGAGTAAGTTCAGGGGACTAGTAAATTATGCAGAATGCACCCATAAAATTTGCTGCAGACCTGATAAGGAATTGCAGAGGAATCTTGAAAAAAAAAGCAGGGAAGGCTCTGGTATGTAGTGTGGAGAACATCAGCTTGAAGAAGGTTTTGGTAGTGGAGACCAGGTCTGTAAATGGATCATAGAGAGGGATAACTCTCCAATATTCCAAATGCAGTGCTCTTGGATTTTGGGGAAATCCCAGGGCAACATCCTTAAAGGATGTCCTGGCACCCTCTTCCCCACAAAGAGTGGCTGGCATTGCTGCCTCAGATCCAGGGCTGGGCTGGTTGGACATGGGGACACTTATGAGCAACTTCCAGAAAGAGCATGGGCATTGCAAGAGCATTTGTGTGAAGAATTTCACTGCCATTGAGAAAGGCGTTCATAAATCATTTTTAACAAAGCAAGTATTGTTGTCTTGTGGGATCATGTGATTTTTCTAGCAATCTTTTTTCTAGGAAAGCTTTATTTTCAACATTGAATATTGAGAAGTATAATTTACTAATGGCAAGAATATGTTATGAGACACTTAGAATGAAGGCATACAAGGAAATAATGAAGATGTCCTGAGCTGCACATCATCAGAAGTATAATTAATAAGGTCATGTTAAAATAACCTTAGCTGTGCAGATACTTCTTCCCTTTGCCAACTGTTGACTTGTGAAATGGAGCAGCAAGTATGATGAGGAATAGCTATTCAAAAATTTCATAGATGGAACCTGAAATTAAGGTTATTCCTGAATCTGAACAGCTGTTCATCATCTGAAGAAATTACCTCTGTCATTTTTGCATGAAAGGTTCTCTAAAAGCAATAATGAAGGAGGCTCTAGATGCTGCCTCAGGGATGTCTTGTGCAAATAACCCATTGTCAAAGACACTTCTGGAGGATTTTCCTGGCACATGAGATTTAGCTCTGTTGTACACTGGAGTGAGTGAAAAACAATATACAAATATATCACAAAATTAATATACAAATACACTATTAAATTCCATAAGCATTTTCCATAAGTATTTTTTATTGTTCATGCTTAAAGCTGTGCACCTGTGTTCTACACTTTGCTTATGTTACCACCATTGTCTCCAGTCTTGTAGAGAAGGGCAGGTGCAATTCTGGGTTGAAGACAGTCAGCTGGGCAGAAATTGCAAAGCAGCAGATGTGCTGTCTGCCAACAGAACAGAACAGATAAATATTCCATGTTATTTTTGGGGTTGTATTGTGGTTTTCCTTTATACTTTTGTTGTGTTAAATATACCTCTATTAAAAATTCTCCACTGAGATCTTCATCAACTAAAGTGTACAAAAGCTGTCCCTTGAAAATTCTCAATTTTTGCCTGTATGTGTGAGCAAGTTCTCTAAATATCCATCTAGACGGCTGTTTCGAAGCACTGCAGCTGGTAGTCTTACTGTTAGATGTGCTAAATGTGCATTTAGGTGTAAATGTAGTATTATTAATTGGCCCTGAAGGATTGTATTAAGTGCTAATTGAGACTGTCCTTAGTTTGGGATTAGAATAGCATCTAAGTGAGTTGTTCAAAAAAACCCCAAATATCTAGAATAGTACATTTGACCTCCTCTCTTTTTCTCAGCATGGTTAATCACATAAGAGCTATTCCTGATAAATTGTTAATTGTGGTTTACTTATTGCAGAACAAAAGCTTCTATTACAGAAGAAAGTAGTGTTCAATGGGAACACCTACTATAATTTATTTCCAGACTTTTTTCTTTGTAAGGTCAAGACCTGTATTGGAAATTATGTGTACTGGCAGTTTAGGCAAATACTTGCTGATTTTGACTTCCATCAAGGTCATGCTACTTCTCGTAGTTAAGAGCATTGCAGACCAGATTTGAAACAATAACCCTTTTGAAGTGATCAAAAATAGTTATGTTTACAATGCAACCACACCACTTGTTGATATTACTAATTTTTTATGTACTTGACTCCCATTTGTGATATTCTTATTTCTGAGACTTGCTCTTCCAAACTCACATTCATCCCTCCCAGCCCAAATTTTGAGTTCTGCCTGTTTGTCACTTCTGCTATGCTCATTTATTCCTGTTTTCACATTGTCTTTATTTCATTACTGCTAATTTCCCTTTTTTTCCCTCAAGATCCCAAGTTCTTCTAGTTTTGCATCATGCTGTACAGGGCTGCCATAGAATCACAGAACCCCTGGATGATTTGGATTGGAAGGAACCTTGGAGATCATCTCATTCCAGCTCCCCTGCCATGGGGGGTTGCTCAAACATGTGCTTGAGAATTGTTTTTTCTTTCCTGCCATGGCGGAAACACCTTCCACTAGACCAGATTGATCAGAGCCTCATCCAACTTGGCCCTAAACACTTCCAGGGATGGGTCACCCACAGCTTCTTAGGGCAAACTGTGCCAGGGCCTCACCATTCTCTGTGTAAAAAAATATCTGCCTTATAGCCAGCCTAAATCTACCCTCTTTTATTTAAAACCATTGTCCCTTGTCCTATTACAACAGGCCTTGCCAAAGAGTTTGTTCCCATCTTTCTTATAAGTCCCTTTTAAGTACATAGAGGGCTAAAAAGTCTCTATTCTAAGAGGTTGTCCTGGGGTGACTTTATGATGCTTGTATCCCCAGTCACCTTGTTTATGTTACACATTAAGTTCTGCACCTCTAAGACTGGCTCTGAGAGTGAAAAGGGGGAAGAAGAAGCCCCAGTTTGTGTTCAGAAAGAGCCCTCAGTCCCCCACATCCTACTCATGGACTGTGTTGTCTGCAGCATGTACAGACAGCGGGACAGAGCTCTCCTTTGCTGTTGTTTTTTAGCTAGCTGAGGCAGAGAAGTTCCCTGGACTGTTTTTTTCCCTTTATCTTGGATCTGTTCAAACCTGCTCTGGACTGAAAACCCAGACAAACCCCTGGAGCTCTCGCCTGTGGCCCACCAGGGCCTGGGCCTCGGCACTTTCCAGTGCCGGAGGGACTGATAAGAGAATGAGTGAGCTGAGCTACACCACATGAAAAGGACTTTTCTGGATTTGCTATCTCATCAAACAGAGAGATTTTATTGTTTAATATTATTCAGTTTTTGTTAAATAAACGGGTTTTTTCCACTTTTCTCCAAGGAAATCTTTTTCTTGAACCAGCTGGGGGAGGGGCCACTAGAATTTGCTTTCTGGAGGGACCCCATTTGTTGATTCTCTCCCAAATTTGCCCTAAACCAGGACAGAGGTGATAGTAGTTAGGGTTATCAGAGCTTTTTTCCAGTTCTCTGGACCAGTTCCAGACTTTTCTCAAGTTTTCAATTCAGCATACATTCAAAGCCAAGGTTTCCCCTGGTATTTATGAGATACCTCCAGGCAAAACAGAAATTGTGCAGAATTACAGTTCAATGAAAAATACACAAGTAATAACTGTATACTGCATGTGGATGCAGCACAGCTGTAAATTAACAAAATATCAAACAATTTTAAAGGTAAAGTCCTCAGCACAGAGCAATGAAAATTTGAATATGAAGTTGAAAAAGGAGGTTTATCTATGCGATTTAAGTCCTGAAGACATTAACACCTGGTAAAGCTATGTGGAAGCTCTTGTGAGGCAGATAAAAATCACACTGAATTATTAAGTTTGTATTTAAAAGTTCATAGATACATAGGACAGTTTTGTGTAACCATTTCTCTAAAATGGTGTGATTAATAATGTTTTTGTATGAATTGCTGAAAACCTCTACCACTGAAGGTGCTTTTATTTTCTAAAGGAAACTATTTTAAAGTTGAGTAATTAAATCAGAAAAGTTTCTTCCTGAAAAGAATATTCCCTGATAAATCCTATTTTTAATTCTTCTGGAAGAATCCCTGAATTCATGGAAAATATTTATGATTTATTACAACAAACAACTTGCTCTCCAAACAAGGAAATTACAAAGCAGGAAGTCTGCTCATTGTTGCATGTTTTCAAATAAGATCTAAGCAAACAAAAACACTTATTTAAAGTTTTGCATTAAGAATATAGAATATTTCATCTTTTTCTTTATAGACAGTAAATTCTTGATTAGTTTTTTGTTTTCTGGGTTTTTTTTTTTAGGATATATTTGACAGTGACTGGTACACTTCCTGCAGGCTCATTGGAGGAGCTGATATTATTGTGATTAAATACTCTGTCAATGACAAGACTTCATTTCAAGAACTAAAGGACAACTATGTGCCAACGGTAAAAAAAGCACTAAGTCACTGCTCAGTTCCAGTAATAATTTCTGCTATTGGTGCAAGAAAAAACGGTATGTAACCAGCCTCCTGTAATGACAGATAAAATCTCAAATGGAAGTTTGGTATAGTGTGATTTCAGTAAAAGCTGGATGTTTTTCCATGCTGCAAACAGAAACAATTAGTCTGTCAGGATAACAATAATATGCACATGTATCTGGGCTCTCTAGGCTGATGTACTGGCAAGAACATTGTTTTAATTAACCCCAGTGATGAAAGGCAATTTATCCTTCTTTGACCTCTGCAATGACTCTTCTTGTCATCATACATGGGGATTAAATCCAGTAATTTGGATTAAGCAACATATATTTGGGTATAAAGTATCTCTAGTGTATGAGATTACAATTCATCCAACAGTCTGAAAACACTGGAGAGTGGGTGGGAAAAGACTTGAAATTCTCTGGGACTTTTTTCCTAAGACAATGAATGAAAAACACAACCCTGACTTGTCTTTTACTTTATGACACTTAACTGTAACAAGTGTTTCTGAGCATCCCTCCTTTTAATGAGTAATGATGGGTGTAGATGTAAACATTTATTTTGTAATGTGCATGGAAATATTAATCCATATGAAGTATATCCTCTATGGATAGAATGCTCAGTGTTGCCAAGGTTCTACTTATAAATCTCTTAGCTCAGTGACTGATAAAGGACAGTTAAAGATCTCCATAACACTTGAATATTTATTTTCTTTCATTTAATAATTCACTGATCATGACCAAAAGCTTTTATGCTGTATACAGGATTAATAAATCTACCATTGTAAAGGCAAGATCTTGGTAATTTGTCTTCCCCAAGCATTTTCTTACACTTTGTATTTAAGAAAAGGATATCACCAAACTGAGTGACTCCTCTAGTGTTTTGGTTTTTTTCTCTTTTCCACTTAATTTTTTTTCTGTCTTCCTTTCTAAATAATGTGGCTATGGGAGACATCAGGCTGGACCTCTGGGTTTAGCCTGAAACCTATCAGAGCAAACTGCAGTTCACACATACGCTGTTAGTTTTTAGCTTGCTGAGGCAGAGACGTTTTTGTTTCTAGGTGGTATTTGTGAGCACAGCAGTTTGCTTATACAGATTACTATGATCTTAATCCTCTGTAGTGCTAGATGTTGCTGCCAAAACAAATTATTAAAAAAACCCAGAAAAGTTGTTTAGTTACATTATCCATAGGTCTAAGCAGAGGACATTAACATGGAGCATGCACAGAACATTTAAAAGCACATCCGTGGCTGGCAGGTTCTTACTGTTATTAAGCAAAGCTGACCCAGTGTGGCTAAAAGATTTTAAACATTTAAATGGCATAATCTTAAAGTACCTATTTTTTAAAAAAAAATATATGTAAAATACATGTAAATGAATCAGATCCTGCAGTAAGTACAACCTATCAAAGGTTGGTTTGGAGTAGAAATTTTCTTCTTTCATTACTGTGTATGCTTTCATTACCTGTATGGACTGGCCACAATAATTCAGCAGGTTTAAGGGTGACATTCATAAATGATAACACTTGCAGGCTAGAACTCAAGCAAGCAAAGATATTGAGCTAAAGCTGAATCTGGCATCCAGAAATCTGGATGGACTTTTCCACCTTAACAAAACCAATAAAATAATGCTAATGCTAATGTATGCAGACATTTGTAGAGTGACTAGTATTTTGAATTAATTAATAAGAAGTTGGGTTTCTTTTGTAATAACAAATTTCTTACAGTAAAATTGCTATGTGTTTATTTCCCTCTTTGTTCTCCTCTAAGTAAGGCATCTTTAAAACTATTTAGGAATCTAAGAATTCTGCATTATTTGGTCAAAATGGTTTTTTACATCACTTTCCCCAGGAGTGCCTTGCACCTGTCCACTGTGCACTTCAGACAGGAGGAGCTGTGTCACAACCTCTGAAGGAGTTCAGCTTGCTAAGGAACTTGGAGCCACATACCTTGAACTGCACACTCTTAATGACTTCTACGTACAGAAATACTTTGGAGGAGTGGTGAGCATGTATCTGCTGTTTTGGAAGCAGGGTGGAACATGCAGGAGATTCATGACTGATGTGAAGGCTTCAGAGAGCCAGAGGAGGCACACTATGGGCCCTTCCACCAAGTGTCAAGTTGCCACCAATATAAGATTCAAGTTAGATATTAGAAAGAAAATCTTCACTGTGAGGGTGGTAAGACACTGGAACAGAATGGTCAGGCAAGCTGTGAGCGCCCCATCCTTGGCAGTGTTCTTGGCAGGGTTGGATGGGGCTTGGAGCACCTGGTCTAGTGGAAAGTATCCCTGCCCATGGCAGGGGGATTGGAATTCAATGGCCAAGGTACTTTCCAAACCAAACCATTCTAGGGTTCTATGATACTATCTGAATTAGCAGTACCAAGGTTGCTCTGGTTTTAAGCAGGAAGATTTAGGCAAGCCATCTGACACACTGCAGTAAGTGTTCCACTTGTATTCTTGTCCTTTTATCTTGCTGAATGAGACCCCAAGAACCAATTGGCATCTAAAGAAGTTGATAAATTGAATATCCTTATGTCTGTCAATTCTAGGAAGATTAAATATACAAGAATTAACCACAATCATTTGAATAAATAGTCTTTTAAACTGTGCTAGTTTTATCTAAATATGGGAGCTTCTCATAAAGGAGTTTTGGGACTCTTGGATGACTGGTAATAGTGTCAGTAGTTTTAGTCCTGCATACAGAACCTTTCATACCCCTTAATTTGATGCCTAGGTTGTTATTAAATAACAAGGGTTTTTTAAAAAATATGTTTCTTGTCTTAGCTGGAATATTTTATGATCCAAAGTTTGAATCAGAAGTCATCCAAAAAAATGAAGGAAAGGAAAAAGATGCAGAAGTGCCATCGAGTCCAACCACCTCAACTTGAACAGCCAGGTGCTCATTGATATCTGGTCACTAGTATAATTCCTTATGTGTGTCATTTTCTTTGCACAATTAATATTTTTTGCTACATTTTTTACTAACAATTTTTACTGTGAGCTATGCTATCTATTGTCAGCTCTTCTGGTTTGTTGCATTGTCATTTAGCAATGGTTAAATTTGCTTGGGGAAAATTGTATGGCAATAAATAACAGTGCAATGGATTTCTAGTTTATTTTAGATATAACTAATAGGAGTGTTTTTCTGGTGGACTGATGAAATAACGAACACATGAAAAAAGCTTTATATAAAATCTTAACAGAGAGATTACAAAAGAAAGTTGTTAGAGCATGAATTGTTATTCTACAATATCATCAAGTAATGTTTTTGTTTTCTGCAGATAAAGCAAGGGAGAGAAGTACACACCCTTAAGTGATTTCTGAGCATTTGATGCATTTGTTCAGTGAAAAAATTACTGAGAAGTAGTTACCTCTAAATCTGTAGCTGTGTCTTCTTCCTCGTCTTAGAACACTCTTCTTAATGTTCTAAGAATTTGCTCAGACCTCATAGATTTGGAATACATAGTCAAAGTCTCTTTATAGTGTAACTTTCTATAGAGAGTTCATGAAAGAACAGACACTTACTATTAAACTAAGAATTTCTTAACTTACTGTACTAAGTATTTCCATTTTTAGAGTATTTTACTCAAGATATTAAAACAGTATGTAAGAAATATTCTTATTGAATACGTCTTCTAAAAATTAAACTGACCTGATAAAGTCAGTTGCCCTGTGGTTAGCACCTGCCTAAGTTACAGCCTGACTTGTTTTGCAGAAAAGATGCCGATCCTGAAGGGTGAAGCCTCACACTACAACGCAGACCTGCACAACCTGCTCTGCTGCTGCCAGTGTGTAGATGTGGCCTTCTATCCTGAGGACCTCAGCATAGCAGTGGAGGCTCACAAGATCATCCTCTGCTCTGTCAGCCACCTCTTCATGCTGCTGTTTGGAGTGAAGAGCCCATCCGATGCCCATGACACCTCCCTTGTGCAGCTGGCACAGAGTCTCTTTGCAGTGGAGGAGGGGGATCCCTTACCCTCGTATCCCCATGGTGTCCCACCCTGTGTCCCACCAGTCAGGGTGGTGGTGAAGGATTCTCTCTTCTGCTCTTGTCTCCCAGATATCCTCCACTTCATTTATTCAGGTACCTGCTGGTATCTCTTTCAATTCATATCAGATCTGGCTCCTCCATTTCCTATTGTCTGATGAAGGAATATGTGCATCACCCTAAGGAATGTGGCTTTGCTGTTGTGAGATGGCGTCTCACCATCTTTCCACACCTATTTTATCCCTTGTGATTCCTATGCACAGCGAAAAAAGGTCATCATCTGTATTTAGCAAAAACTAAATTAGTTTGCATTCCAGACTTTATGGACCTAAATTAAATTAGTCCATTGGCTAACATTAATAACATGCAAAATTTTCCCCCAGAAGATTTGGAGTTTGAGTAAGTTTCAGATCCTAGGTTTTTAAAATATTGTAAATGGTTGCATGTTCTAAACACAAGGGCAACAATGCAGTTACTTAAGAAAACTCTAGTAATTTTATTCTGAGTATGGTGCAGTGCTCTAATTTCTAATGTCCCCCTGCCTCTCTGCCACTACTGTCCACCCCACAGCAGCCAGGGAGACAGGGGAGATAGTTTAGCTTGTCAAAGAAGAACCTAAAAACGAGGCTCTTTCCCTTTGCTGAGATAGCAGTTACAGCTTTATTTCTTGGGACCCTACAGAGTGAGGTTGCAGGAGGGAAAGAGGAAGAGGTATCGATAAGCCTCTCTTTTTGAAGACAGGGGAAAGGGGTGAGGGAATTTACACAACCAATAAGGGGAGAACAAGATACGGGAAAGAAACTTACAATTCTACACTTTTGGGGGAACATTTTTTGGGTCATACCATTTTTCCTAACTGCATTCCAACAGTGCAGCTGAAGAGAAAACAGTGATAAGTGGAGTGTGGAGATCTCTGAGGTGTTGCATGAGTTTTGCTACCAGTTGGTACAGACTGTACCTCAGCTGACACAACTATCTAATGCCAGCTATTAAAATGGCACTGATACTTTTTTTAACTTTTCAGATGTTGCTTAGAAATTCTCAGCAGAAAGATTTGGGGTCTTTTTGTGGAAGTAGCTAATTCCTATTTGTTCTTTATAAAATATTTTTCAACTGTCAGAGAATCTTTCAGCTTTCAGTTGGAGTTTGTACATCAAAGGCAGTTCTTTCCAAAATAGGGACAAACATAAAGAGTAGATGAAGAAGTTTTTCACTGAAAAAAATCACTGAATGGATTTTTTATTTCTTATTTATTGGAGACAAGAATAGGGGATTAAAACTGGATTTTCAGCAGGTGATGGAAAAATTCAGTATTTTTAATTCACATAATAATTTAATAATATGGGTTGAAAAATACCTTTAAGATTATCAAATCCAAGCACTAACCCATCACTGCCAAGCCCATCACTTAAACTGTGTCCCCATGTACCATATCTTTGAAGTGCCTCCAGGGATGGTGATCCCACCACTGCCTTGGGCACCTTGTTCCAGTGCTTGACAACCCTTTGGCAAAGAAATTTTCCTGATACTGAATCTAAACCTCCCCTGGTGCAACTTGAGGCTGTTTCCTCTTGTTCTGTCATTTACTGCCTGGGAGAAGAGACTGTCTCCAAACTGGCTACAACTTTCTTGGCAGTTGAAGCGGGAGGCAAGTTCACCCCTGAGCCTCCTTTCTCGCAGTCTTTGTAAGCATCTTCATCTGTTACCCTCTACAGCTTGTGTCTACTGCCTTGTGTGCACTAATTTTCCTTTTTTACTTTCCTTTATGTCAGCCAAGGGGCTGTGAGACTCTGTAGCTGTAGGCAGAGCTCTGCTTGGGTCCCAGCTGAGGCTCCTAGCCTGAAGGTCATTGCAAAACTCATTGTGTCTTCTGGTGCCTCTGAGAGGTGACCATTGTCTCTTGAAGGTGCTGGAGGTACAGGCTAAGAAGAGTGTGGATGCTAGCTCTGGAGCAGGCAGCAGAGAGCCTGTAGAAATTACAGGCTACATAGCTTTCTCAGCCCAGCCTGAGAAAGTAGCCTGGGAATTTATAAGGAGGATTCAAAACAATCCTCAGAGATAGAAAACATCCTTGCAGGTGTTGTTTCTCTGTCTCTTGTTTTCTTTGCAGGAGAAAGTCAGGGGGTAGTGTGCCCCACTGACCAATGATGGTGATGTAGTGGTTTGCTAACCAGTAAGAGTTTCCTTTCTGTACTTTCCACCTATCAGTCTATAAAACAAAGCTGAAATAATAAACTAGGAAACATTCTCCTAACTGACTCCCTAGACAGTCTGTGTCGTTCTTCCCAGCCGTTCCTAATAGAGTGACAGAAGAGAACAAATTATAAGTTTTCAGCTTTTCAGGACTGCGACACAATGCCCATGAGGTTATAAATGCTTAGCCAGTGTGATATAGATGGAAGCTAATTGAGCTGAGAATGCTGTGTGCTGTAGGTGCTGATTCAGCCTCTCAACAGCAGAGAATCTCCGGGGCTGTGTTGAGTTGGGCTTGTCACTGAGCTTGATCTATTTTTGTCTCCTTCTTGTCCTGGGTTAGAACTGAAAGTTGCCACAAAGCCCTATGGTGCCTCTGAGACTGCAGCAAAGTGCATGAAGATAAACTATCTTGTATTTACTCTCTTATTTTTTCCAAGAAAACTCTTGAGACACATCAGTGAATGTCATGGGTGCAAAAACAATAATAACAGAATTTTACAGAGAAAACAAGAATAACAGGAATTCTATTGCAAATTTTGTGCTGGTTTTAGCTATGAGGACTGTATGAGAATGTAACTGTGCATGAAGTTTTTGTAGATCAGACATCTACAGAACAATGCAGCCAGCAGCATGGGCATAAGCTGAAAAATTGGCACAAATGTTGAAGCATTAAGGATTATTTTTTTTTTTAATAATCTCTGCCTGTAATATGTAGTGACTGAACAGGGAGGAATTCATAGATTGAGTGTGAAAGCAAGTGAGATTCTCTAGTCTGTCAGTACTTGGTTGCACCATAGAAACTACCATGAAAATTTAATGTGCAAAAATTGCATCTTGCCCTTCTTAAAAGCAAAGATCTGGCTGATTTATGTACAAACTCCCTACCATTTCTGCAGGATGTGTTTTGTGTTGATGTCATCTTTCCTCTGCATGCTGAGGCCTGTGCCTTGCTGATTTATAATCCATCTCCCCTGGTTTTGTGATAGGTGCTTTCCAGTGGGAACGATTGGAAGAGGACATAAAAAAGAAGTTGAAAGATCCAGATAAAACAGAACATGTGCTTGAGAAAGTTAAATGCATCCTGAAAACTCCAGGGAAGGTACATCTATCTCACTTGGGTCACCATTAATTACTTAAGTTTTTGAGAAATTGCTTTGTAGGCAAAGTTTTCTTGTCAGTCTTTCTTTTAAAGTCACTTTGGCTTACACAGCCTGCACTTTTTCATGTTTTTAGTTTGTAGACATGTACACAGAGATTGTATGTAACATGCAGAATTAATGTAATTGGTAAAAATCACATAAGCAGGTATTCTAAAAGGATTACTCATATTCACAGCTTTGAACATTGTCTGGCTATATGATTATGGGTTGCTAATTCCCATGTAATAGAGGCTGCCCAGGAAAGATTTGTTCCTGAACATATGGCAAAAGCAGGGCTTCTGCAGTAGATCCAGAGGGTTGAATTTCTCCTAGAAATGTTGTGATGTGGAAAGCTGTCTGTAACTCAATATATTTAATTAAGTAAAACACCAAATAAAAAAATGTAATGTATATCATATTATTAATTTCATAAAAAGTCACAATGTAGAATTAGTTCTAACACAGAATTAGTTTTTATAGACATATGCTCTTGGAGCTTATAAATTCCCTGATAATATAGAACTTGCTGTAATGATTTCTGTTGATTTAGATGGGAAAACCTCTCAAATTCTCTTTGAACAATACAATATAGAGATCACTAAGTTACTTAGCTGTTTTCAGCTTTTGACTATTCTGGCTTACCCACAGCTAAAATATTTCTACATTTGGCCTTGGAGAGCCTGAAGACTTCTAAGACAGTGAGCCTGAGCTGTTGACATTTCTTTTATTCTTTTTTTGTGCCTTCAGGGTACTCTTATTTCCCATTTAAGAATTTTTCTTTGGAGGCCAAAAAGAAAGAACTGGTATTTTTCATAATAAAACTAAAAAATTTATGAATTTAAGATTTTAACCATAAATTCAATCTAATCTGAATTTCACTTATCACAATCTAGCAACATAATTTTGATGTTGCTCCTTTCGGCAGCCCTAGACTACATTTTTAAGGTAAGAAAACCAAAACTGAAAACTAACTGGGAGTACTGGGTTTTGGAGGGTCTTGACACTACAAAGTTATCGTAAGAGGAGTCTGTGCTTCAGTCTGTGAGCTCCCCCTGCCTCTATGGAAGCAGTTCCAGGGCAGTATAAAGAAACACAGAATTTTCAGCTGCCTTGCCTCTGTACATGGCATCACAGTGGGGGATGGATGGATGCGCCACCCCTGCTCCCCCCAGAACCCTCAAACCTCATTTTGCTGCAGCATTGGGTCTGGACAGGGAATTTATGAAAAAGTTTGGACTACAGAAATCTGATGAAGCCCAACCTGCCTGTCAGCACTGGATGGGGGAGTTTCATGGAAGGTCAAGAATACCAAGGAGAGAGCAAAGGTGTGACAAGAGACCTCTCAGAGATGCTGCACTGTAGGGAATAGGAAATTAGAAGATAAAAGACGATTGCAGATGAATGTATATGCAAGAAGCTGTTGTTTATTTTCCTATATAAAAGGTCTCCCATAATATTTAGTTCTGTGGGCAGTTGCACATGACAGTGCTTTATTACCAATTTGTTTTTCAGCCAAACACTGTAAAGGACTGCAAATCTCACCAGATAAAACTGCTCTATAATACTTCTCTCAGGCTGTTCTTTAACACACCTGTGCTGGCTGATGTACTCTTCAAAATACAAGGTACTGTACCTCTGCTCCCTTGGCCTCCAGCCTTTATCCGTTTTCCCTTCCTCAGGAATGTGGGATATAGAGGTGGCCATGTTCTATGGCATCAAAACTAGGAAAATATGAGTGCTTTGCTGCCACTGTGGAAAACAGGGAAAGCTTGTCCCTATGGATGCTATGTAGCAGTGTCCACTCCCAGCATGGTTTGTCTGGGCTGCGCCTATAGGAATTGCCTCTCCCTGTCATAGCCCACTGTGCCTCCCTGATTGACACTATTTTTTATTCTATTTTATTCTATTCTGGTTTACTTCATTTTATTTTGCATTCTTTCATTTTGTTTTACTTTGTTTTATTACATTGTATTGTATTGTATTGTATTTTAATCTCACTCCTTTTCCCAGCTGCACAAGCACTAGTGCATACTTAAGGCATCTGCCCAACATCATACCTTGGAGAGGCATGGGCTTCACCTCTGTGCTTGTTGGCCTCAGTGAAAAGATGAAAGATGGTGGTTATTGACTCCTGGCTAACATCCTTTTGTCCCTCTCAGGCAGGTGCTGGTTGTGGAAGCACCTGTTTTGTTCCCCAGAAGCTGACAGGGACTGTCTTCGCTGTCCTTGCCACCAGGGTTTGGCGACCTGCAGATCTGGTGCCACTGACACCTGCCACATTTTACTGCCTCATGTACTGCAGTGTCAGGATTTGATTTTCTGTTCAGAAATTAAATGTGTTCATCCTTGCAATAAAAGATGCAGTGGGAGAAACGTGTTGCATGCTTTTGTAAGAATAAGAACGAGATGTTTTTTAAAAGCTAAGTTGGTCCATACTCAGCCTTCATGCTGAAAAGGCCTTATAGAATTAGATAGTTGTTTAATTCTTTTCAGATGTAAATCTCAGGGACAAACATGAAGCATTAACTCCTCAAACATAAGCTCAGAAGGACAAGCAGACTCTTTCTACAAGTTCTGTTTAATACACAGAAAAAAACTCCACAAAAATACCTTTGGAAAGGATAGGGAAATACTGATTTTGAGTTTGATGACATATAGGATTTACCTCAGTGTCCCACTGCTGAGAGAATCTCTGTTGGAATCTGATGAAATCAGAACACTATATATTCTACAGAAATAAACCCCAAATCTCTGAATGGGTTGACAAGTATTTTAAAAAATCATGCTTATCCACTAATAAAACACAAACTGTTTTTCCTAATAATTGATACGTCTTGCAAACCTTTTTCTCTAATTCATCAGTCAGAATAACTGTATCAAAAATAAATAACTACTAAGAGAAAGTGAAGGCCCTAATCTTAACCAGACAAACAAATTTTTAAGTTTTTGAGCAATTCCTTGGATGCTTAGCATTGCTTTGAGCTTTCTAGCTTATAGAAGAGCCATGAAAAATAGGAGCCCATTTACCCATCTCTGTGTAAAGACACAGAACGTGACTGAACTTCTTAATTAGTAGATAAATGTCCATTCACAAGTACATACAGGATATATGGTGTGCAGCTTAGACATTTTGAAAGAAGTACAGAGGGTAGGAATAGAACAAAAGACAAAAAATGCCAGAAGGCTTCAAAGAGTTACTCAGGTGCCAATGTTGTAATTAAAACAGTAACTTCCTTGTGAATATATACAGTATATTTATCTTGTATGTCAGTTGATCTGTTTATTATAATTTTGATTAAAATATTTACATGCAACTCTAAATGCTCATTTAGGGTTCGGTTGCTGTCCTGACTGGAATTTGCTTGGCATTTCCTTGCACACAAAACTGGACTGCTTAGTCCAGCTGGATGCTGCAGCCTGAAAGGCCTCTACCACCCTGAGCTGTTGGCCTCTCCAGGTCTTCCAAATGTTAGAGTAACGCAAAGGATTCACTTGTATATAATAGAAAATTAATAAATTTCTGGAAGAAATCATCAGTGTTTTTTTCATAAGACAACCATTCAGGAAATTCACTTAGGCACAATATTTCATCTAGTTAAATTTATGTTTAGTTACTGAGCTTAATAGAATTTCATCTGGAAAAATTTGCCTTTCTCTGCTTTGTGTGGTTGTTCTGTTCCAAATATTAATTACCAGTAGGGTTATTGGTGAATGTAAATGACTCTTCATAGAATCATTCAGATTGGAAAAGACGCCTAAGATCATCAAGTCCAATCATTAACCATTTGCATAACAATTCATAGCACTGAATATTTATGCAGTGGGCTGGAGGTTCAGTTAGTGTGAACAGATTGATTCTGTCTATTCTCTGTTGGTTTAGTCTATTTCATTTTGGTTTAATTAATTCTTTGTTTCTTTATTTTGCTTTATTTTACTATTCATTATTCATCTTAACTGGTATGCAGTGACTGTGTTAGTTATTGTCAACACTTAAACCATTGTCAAAATGTAAACCATGTTCAGTGGAGTAAACACCTCTTAAGAAGAACTGAGCTTTAAAATGAAGATCTTTCGGTGTTATATAAAGTCATTGTATATTTATTTTTATCTTGCATCCTGCAGATGCAACTGTACCAGCCCACAGGGCAGTTCTGGTAGCCCGTTGTGAGGTTATGGCAGCCATGTTTAATGGTAATTATCTAGAAGCAAATAGCGTTCTGGTTCCGGTGTACGGGGTTTCCAAAGACACTTTCCTGTCCTTCCTAGAGTACCTTTACACTGACTCCTGCTGCCCAGGTAAGGAAACTGTAAAATACAGTTCTATATCTGTGACTCATTCTTCCACAGCAGGCCACTGATAGAGTGTAATGTAGCAGTATCTATTTAATTGAAAAATGCTAATATTTGCATGTGCAGTGTCTTGAGAAAGAGGATTTTTTTTGTATTGTGCAACAAAAAAGAAATTCATCCTATACAAATGAAATAGAAGCAATATTTCTAATAAAATTACGTATTTGCTTTGCGCTCATAAAGAAGACAAGACTCAAAGAAGTTGCAATTTAATTTCTGATCCATTATAATATTTGGAATTTTCTTTTTACATTACAGTAATACTGCTTTCTAATCTGGATTCTGTGTTTTATTCAAAAGTTGTCATTTCTTGAACACTCATATAGCTGAGTTTATTATAAACAAGGTTAAAATGCAGGAATACCTTATTTATACACATGGTTATCTTACGTGTGTGTAAACCCAGAAAAAATATGTCAACAGGAGTGTTTGGCAAGAAAAATTGAGCTAAAATATTCTTTAAATTAAAATATAAAATATTCTTTATGTCTCCACATTTTTTTATGAGAAGAATATCTGCTTACTAAATCTAAAACATTATTTAAGCACAGCTAATTTTTCCTTGATATAATGAATAAATGATGTTGTCATATGTATTTTTGCTTTTGTTTTCTTTTGAAATAATTATTCTACCTTATTGTTAGATATTCCATGTTTCTTTTTTCACTCCACTTAACTTTTCCTTGTTTATCAGTTTAAAAATGCAACCACCATGCTATATTTTAGGAAAAAAGGTGACCTTTTTTTTTTTTTGACTTTTGGCTGTATTATATCATAAAAGTGCTTTTCTGAAAAAGAACCTAGCTAAATCCACTTATTAATTATCACTTACTCTAAATAGATCAGCAGCACTTGACTCATTATCTTCAAAAAGAACTTCAATATTGACAGCAATTCTTTACACTCATCTACCAAGAAGTTCTGAACAAGTTTTTCTTCTAATTTTAATAGCTTTTCTGGAAAAATAAGATGATACAGCAAACAAAAATTTATAATAATGAAAAGGTGATCACAGCAGTCTGATTTTGTGTTTGTTCGTAGGTATTTAAAAGACAGCTTGGTGAAAAATAGCTTTGATCATCTTGTCAAGAAAGTAAAATACATGTAACTTGTGTCTTCTTGTTTTTCAGCCGGTATTCTCCAAGCAATGTCTCTACTGATCTGTGCAGAGATGTACCAAGTAATGAGACTCCGGCATATTTGTGAACTTTACATCATCACGCAGCTTCAGAGCATGCCTAGCAGGGAACTGGCTTCCACAAGCCTCAGTATTGTTAGCTTGCTCAAAAAAGCTAAGGTACTTATTCTATATACCAAATGAGAACATACATGTTGACTTTAATAAGTTGTTTGCTTTTTAAGATTTTAAAAATCTTTACAGCAATTCCTGTTCCCAAGGAAACATGTTGGTATAAAACCTGTTTATTAGGGATAACTAGTGACACAAGGCTGACCAGACGAAATCCTTCAGCTTTAGTTGCCGAATGTGCAGTCACAGAATCAGAGCATTGCCTCTACCATTGTACCCCAGGAAGCCTGCTTCAGAGTTTGACAACCCTTGCCACAAAGAAATTTTTACTACTTGTCTTGGTTTAGGGCAAATTTGGGAGAAAACCTCCAGTGGGGCTTCTCTTGGGAAGTAAACTTACGTGGCTCTTTCTCTCCACTCTTCAACCGGTTCAGGAAGAGATTTCTCTGAGAGGAGTGGAAAAAACTTGTTTATTTCACAGGCACAGCACTACTCAGCACAAAAATGAATGATATCAAATTACAAAACCTCTCGCCCTTCAGAAGAGATGACAAACTTCAGAGGGTCTCTTTCCTGGGGGTGTTGGCTCTGTTATCAGTCCCTCTGGCGCTGGAAAATGCCGCTGCCCAGCCTGGGCTCCCGGTAGTCCACGGGTGCAAGCTCCCGGTGCTCCCCCGAGTCCCCAGCCCAGAGCAGGTTCGATTCGTTTCAGAAAAAGGGAAAGAAAACAGTCCAGGAAGACCTCTCTGCTCCGGCTAGCTGGAAAGCCAAGGCGATCTGTGTCTTGTTGTCTGTCTGTGCTGTAGTCAAAACTCCCGATGCGGGGGGAGCAAGTACAGTCTGATANCAGTGGAGGCTCACAAGATCATCCTCTGCTCTGTCAGCCACCTCTTCATGCTGCTGTTTGGAGTGAAGAGCCCATCCGATGCCCATGACACCTCCCTTGTGCAGCTGGCACAGAGTCTCTTTGCAGTGGAGGAGGGGGATCCCTTACCCTCGTATCCCCATGGTGTCCCACCCTGTGTCCCACCAGTCAGGGTGGTGGTGAAGGATTCTCTCTTCTGCTCTTGTCTCCCAGATATCCTCCACTTCATTTATTCAGGTACCTGCTGGTATCTCTTTCAATTCATATCAGATCTGGCTCCTCCATTTCCTATTGTCTGATGAAGGAATATGTGCATCACCCTAAGGAATGTGGCTTTGCTGTTGTGAGATGGCGTCTCACCATCTTTCCACACCTATTTTATCCCTTGTGATTCCTATGCACAGCGAAAAAAGGTCATCATCTGTATTTAGCAAAAACTAAATTAGTTTGCATTCCAGACTTTATGGACCTAAATTAAATTAGTCCATTGGCTAACATTAATAACATGCAAAATTTTCCCCCAGAAGATTTGGAGTTTGAGTAAGTTTCAGATCCTAGGTTTTTAAAATATTGTAAATGGTTGCATGTTCTAAACACAAGGGCAACAATGCAGTTACTTAAGAAAACTCTAGTAATTTTATTCTGAGTATGGTGCAGTGCTCTAATTTCTAATGTCCCCCTGCCTCTCTGCCACTACTGTCCACCCCACAGCAGCCAGGGAGACAGGGGAGATAGTTTAGCTTGTCAAAGAAGAACCTAAAAACGAGGCTCTTTCCCTTTACTGAGATGGTAGTTACAGCTTTATTTCTTGGGATCCTTCAGGGTGAGGTTGCAGGAGGGAAAGAGCAAGAGGTATCGATAAGCACTCCTTTTTGAAGACAGGGGAAAGGGGTGGAGGGAATTTACACAACCAATAAGGGGAACCGGGGAGAACAAGATACGGGAAAGAAACTTACAATTCTACACTTTCGGGGGAACATTTTTTGGGTCATACCATTTTTCCTAACTGCATTCCAACAGTGCAGCTGAAGAGAAAACAGTGATAAGTGGAGTGTGGAGATCTCTGAGGTGTTGCATGAGTTTTGCTACCAGTTGGTACAGACTGTACCTCAGCTGACACAACTATCTAATGCCAGGTATTAAAATGGCACTGATACTTTTTTAACTTTTCAGATGTTGCTTAGAAATTCTCAGCAGAAAGATTTGGGGTCTTTTTGTGGAAGTAGCTAATTCCTATTTGTTCTTTATAAAATATTTTTCAACTGTCAGAGAATCTTTCAGCTTTCAGTTGGAGTTTGTACATCAAAGGCAGTTCTTTCCAAAATAGGGACAAACATAAAGAGTAGATGAAGAAGTTTTTCACTGAAAAAAATCACTGAATGGATTTTTTATTTCTTATTTATTGGAGACAAGAATAGGGGATTAAAACTGGATTTTCAGCAGGTGATGGAAAAATTCAGTATTTTTAATTCACATAATAATTTAATAATATGGGTTGAAAAATACCTTTAAGATTATCAAATCCAAGCACTAACCCATCACTGCCAAGCCCATCACTTAAACTGTGTCCCCAAGTACCATATCTTTGAAGTGCCTCCAGGGATGGTGATCCCACCACTGCCTTGGGCACCTTGTTCCAGTGCTTGACAACCCTTTGGCAAAGAAATTTTCCTGATACTGAATCTAAACCTCCCCTGGTGCAACTTGAGGCTGTTTCCTCTTGTTCTGTCATTTATTGCCTGGGAGAAGAGACTGTCTCCAAACTGGCTACAACTTTCTTGGCAGTTGAAGCGGGAGGCAAGTTCACCCCTGAGCCTCCTTTCTCGCAGTCTTTGTAAGCATCTTCATCTGTTACCCTCTACAGCTTGTGTCTACTGCCTTGTGTGCACTAATTTTCCTTTTTTACTTTCCTTTATGTCAGCCAAGGGGCTGTGAGACTCTGTAGCTGTAGGCAGAGCTCTGCTTGGGTCCCAGCTGAGGCTCCTAGCCTGAAGGTCATTGCAAAACTCATTGTGTCTTCTGGTGCCTCTGAGAGGTGACCATTGTCTCTTGAAGGTGCTGGAGGTACAGGCTAAGAAGAGTGTGGATGCTAGCTCTGGAGCAGGCAGCAGAGAGCCTGTAGAAATTACAGGCTACATAGCTTTCTCAGCCCAGCCTGAGAAAGTAGCCTGGGAATTTATAAGGAGGATTCAAAACAATCCTCAGAGATAGAAAACATCCTTGCAGGTGTTGTTTCTCTGTCTCTTGTTTTCTTTGCAGGAGAAAGTCAGGGGGTAGTGTGCCCCACTGACCAA